GATGAAGCTAAGAAATAAAACAGCAAAGCTGGGTTGTAAAAAAGTTATTAAGAAATCAAAAGCTTGCATTGAAATGCATAAAGTTAGTAATTAAAAGCAAATACAATTTGAATTAATTAATACCAACACGCTTTGTACGTACATAGTATACACCATAGGGGGGGCGAAACTTTTTGTCTGCTGAAGCAGCGCAATACTTTATTTATTATCTAATAATTATTTTTATTTTAATTAACAATTGGTTTAATTTAGCTTAATTATTGGTATACGAATTTGATGGCTTTCTGTAAACCGACACATTTCGCAGTGTTTGTGGTTGAGTTCTCTTTATTTTCCTTATGATAAGCAAAATTACGCTACCCTGTAGGAAATTCGATAAATGCGAAATACACAATAACCAAATGGGGAGAGAGATGAGTATGTTAAAATGGTTGTGAAAAAAAGGAGATAAGCAATTTTGGTTCATACTGTTGAAGACGGCGTTTAACCCATAGGAGATGATCAGATATATAGATATGCTATAGTTTTTCAAACTATAGTTAGTGATTTTTTGAGTAAAAACCAAATTTTATAGCCAAACAAATTTTCTTTCTCAAATATAGTCTCTTTTAGATCGATATATTTACATTCGACTGTCTCTGCTTGATATATATATATATATATATATATATATATGTATAATATAAATCTGAATAATCTATCCTTGAAACCCTTCGGAAACCCGAAAGAGAAGGTGTCGTCATAATCATGTTTACGGACAGATCCACTTTTGCCTTCTTTAGTACGCGTTTATCTAGAGTAACCTATTGATTTTTAGTTGTCAGCTGATCATGACCAAATTTCATTTCCCGTAGCCAAATATTCGTGTAAGCTGTGAGGCATATGATCACTTGAGACCCTAACAGTTTTTGTTCCAGCCCTTTTATTCTCCGATCCACCCATAACTCAGGCCGATACGATTTTGTAACCAGAAATAGGTCTATACTTTTTATGTGCTGAATTCGAATTTGGATTCAAAACATTTCTACCGTGTCAAGTTTTGAGATATTCCAAAGATTGAATTTACTGAATTGTTGTAATATTTAAACAAATTTTGTCAGACTTCGTTTTCCGTCAGTAAGCAATGAATTAACAATTGTAATTCCTAATGCAGAACCCCTTTAGGGTTTATCAAGCATTTCTCCAATTTGAAACTTGTGTCTTGATAGTCTGCCATCAAATGCAGGTACCAAGGGTTTTTTTAGCCACCTCCGAAGGGTCGACGGATTTTCCGTGGAGTTTTTATTTCGAGTTGGAAGTACACTCGTGAGGATTGACGTTCCTCCTCATAAAAACCTGTCAGGGGTTTGGAGGCACCTTAAAATTAACTGAAGGTTCGTTATTTGTTGGTAAAACCTTAGAGGTTTCCACATCAATGTCCCTCGTGAGCCTTTGAGCTCTGTAATTATTGATATTTAAATTCGTCGTTGAGTCAATGGAAAATTTTTGTTCATTTTCTCTTTAAACTTATAAATAAACACATACATACATATAATTAATATTAAATAATTTAAATCTAAAATTTCTACAAATTTTATAAAAGTTTACGCCAGTTAGCTTAAAATTTTCCTACAGGCCACAACTTGATAACAATAAGTCAACATAACCGCTCTGCTCAGCTCATCAAACATTTATGCTTTCAGCAGCTCTCGTCTTCCTTAGTAGGCTGATGCAATAATTTCGTCAGGTTGTGAAATCACTCCACTGGGTAGCAGCATAAGTAAAAAATGAAGACCAAAAAAAAATTGAATATATACATACGTATTTACCAAAAAAAAGTAATAAAAAGAAAAAAATTAAGAACATGTTTAAACATGCACAGGAATTGTGGGAAAGCTGCAAAAGACCTGTAGCATTCAAAAAAGGGTTAAAATTAAAGCAAATCGAAGTGAATTAAGTGCTTGCCATGGTAGGCAGAAATAATCAATGCCTACACGATTCAAAACAAAAGGGGTTATAGTCAACCTATATATATATACATACATGCATGCATATGTATGTGCATATGTGTACAGCAGTTAAACTCGACCAAGCTTCTTGCTGACTTTCAGCAAGCAACTCCTTTTATGTTGCTGTTATTACTGACTCTTCTTGTTGCTTCTGTAGAATTTTGAGTTTTAGCGTTTTTTTTGGTTTGCTTACGATTGTTACGCAAACCATTTCAATGCGGATGCAATGTTTGCCTGATGGGGTTGCCTCGTTTGCAGGACTTGCAATTGCATTGCATTTTATTCTAAAGTGTCCCATTCATATTGTGATTGCAGGACATTTGTGACGTATACATGAATGAACATGCATTTTTTGTGCGCAAAAAAGTATGCAATGTTGTTCGCCTATAGAGAGGCGAATGCGGTATCTCAGCTGCGGCACGATGTGACTTCCGGATTTCACAATATGCTCAGGTTGGCGTCGAAATTTCGATTTCACATGATGATTATTCTTGTGTTGGTATAACAGAAAAGTGCGAAAATTTCGCGCCCTGGCAAATTTGATACGCCTTAGCTCATTAGAGATGGTTTCGGAACCTGTTGATTCAGAAAAAGGTTTCTTAAAACTCTGCTCTGACAATACGATGGGGGCAGCGCTCATTTCAAGCGCTCGTTTAAGCAAAATTTGGTTGTATCTTACTTTCCTTCTTTGGTTTATAGGCGCAGAAAGAGAGAGAAAGAAAAAGAGAGAAAGAGACAGAGAGGGAGAGAGAGAGAGAGAATGTGCTTACTATATATATCGAGAGCCGATATTGCAATACATTATATAATCATTTTAATACAATCTTTCGTCTCTGTCTAGTTTATAGCATTTTTGGTTCGAATAAAACTGAACAAAAAAAAAGGCAGAGATGATTGAGATGTTAGAACACTATTTTTGTTGCAAGTCCGGTCTTATTAAGAAAGTTAATTAGAACTTTCGTTATTTTTCTCGTTCAAAGAGCAGCGGTCTTTAGTTTGGATATCGGACAGTTCCTTAACTTCACAAAAATTATTGATGCCCCTATGAGGCATGGAATACAAGCTCCATCTCGCACAACAAAGAACCAACAGGCTTATGTATAGCTTTCCAGCCAGGATAAAGTAAACTAAACTTACCAGGCAAGCATTTTCTGAGAGATCATATGAATGCTCAAAAATTGTGTTCCTTAGTTTTTTAACGCCTGTTTTCAATGGAACTGATTTTAAGGGATCGCCCCATGGCCTGCAATTCAACCTCAAATACTTTGGACAAGACCGTCTTCTCACTTAACTTACTCCAAGTCGTTGTTTATTGACCAAACAGTGGATATTTGTTTCAAAGCTATCAGTCGTGAGTTGGTTTTTAACCACTTACAGATGCAGGTCGAGATTGTCGTTACCGTCCACTCACACCACACAAGTAGTCTATTGAAATGCTTTTTATAAAACTTCAAGCTTTAAGTGGATAATCTGTTTCTATATCCATTAAAATATTTACCGATTTTGAGTCTTTTGAATAACAGACTGCATTTCCCCATAGAATTTTCAATTAAAATGCTTCCCTCTCCCTTTCCCTCTCTCTTTCTCTTTCTTCTTCCTTTTTACTGGTGTAGACATCGCTTACGCGATTATAGATAGCCGAATTTATAGCATTGCCAAGTACAGACAGCAGGTCATTCCCTGCCTGGTATTTCCAACGGAGTGGGGGTATTTACCCTTCTTTTGCTTCCATCCGGATCACATAACGTAGCCAGCGTCGCTGAACTATTTACTTTACTGTCGCCATATATCTCATACAGCTCATCATTCCACTGCGGTAGTCGCTATTCCCAACGAGTAGAGGAGCAAAACCTTTCTCTTGAAAACTCCTAACGCCGACTCAACAGATGTTGTCACCGTCCATACCTCCGAACCGTCAGGGCGGACCGGAACGATAAGCGACTTGTAGGGTTTGGTTTTCGTTTGTAAGGAGAAGACTTTATTTTTAAGGGCGAAATTGCGTTGGATGACTATGCTGGCATTGTTGTTGGTGTTAATACTGATACTCTCACTCTACTTCTCTTTTCTCTTTATTAATACACATTTTTCGTCTTTTTTCATCTTAACCGTTTAGCTAGGTAACTTTGGAACTAGAGGACTTAAAGCTTATAAGGGCATGCTCATCCAGAAACTAACTATTCTGTTTGGGAGATTGCTGAATTGAAAACTCGATATCCATTAGCGTCAACATCTCTTCAAGTCTAGACTGTCTTGATGTAATTGAATTTGGCGCGTAAATTCGATACACGCTGCTTGTTCTTCCAACTATAACAGATGACAGTTTGTTTATGTTTTATTATATGTATGTATGTATGTTGTTCGGCTCTCTGTTGACACAATTATCTATTGTTGTACATTTGTGCTAATGCATTTTATTAATAAAACTAATAAATGTGACACGAATTAAATTGAATTTTCAGTCGACCACTGCTGTGAGTACTACATTGCCATGCTACATACATACATACTAACAAACAAACGATTTTCGCGGTAATTTATTTACAACTTTGCAATTTAGCGTTGTTGTTGATGAAATGAAGTTGCAGCATTTAATACAGACAAGCGTTCAACATGCTGAGGACTCCGCTAGTACAGCCGTACTACGGATTGCAACTGCGATAAATTGCAAGCATCACTGCGATGGAAAGAAGGAAAGCAATTGTGTAGAGCCGAATAAATAATAACAATAAATAGAACATCAACAAGCAACAACAATTGTGCGTAAATTAAGCGCGTGCGTAATTTTATATTTTTTCTGTTTGCTCCACAGTTTTGTCGCCAACAATTGGTCGCGTGTTGTGTTGCAAGTACTTTAACAATGAAAAAAAGTGTATCTACAGTGTGGAAAGACAGGGCGAATATAATCTTAAGTCGAGCTCTTTTACGGTCTTTTCGTCCTTACACATGCAGAGGTAAAGATGAGAGGGCAGAGCTCAATGAAAAGAGCCCAAGGGGCAAAAGAATTCTGGACCCTTACATCTCTCCTCTACTTTTCAGTGACTCCAGATACTGCCGTTGAATGAGAGATTGATACTAATAAAGGTAAAGGGGCTAAGAGGGTGAAAGTTTTGCAAGAGAACTGAAAAAAAAAAATAAAATTGGAGAACCAGTTGATGGATTGGTTAGAGAACAGATGAGCCCTAACCTGAATACTAATATAGGGATAGGGATAGGGGGCTAGGGATAGGGATTGAGATTGAGATTGAGATTGAGATTTAGATTGGGATTGGGATTCGGATTCGGATTCGAATTGGGATTGGGATTCGTATTGGGACTTGGGGCTGAGACTGGGACTGGGACTGGGACTGGGACTGGGACTGGGACTGGGACTGGGAGTGGGACTGGGACTGGGACTGGGACTGTGACTGGGACTGGGACTGGGACTGGGATTGGATTGGGATTGGATTGGGATTGGATTGGGATTGGGATGGGGATTGGGATAGGACAACATGGCCAGAATAGGACACAAAAAAGTCACAAGACCTTATTGTGCTGATAATGGCTCTTATTTGGGGTAGTAGCTTGATGTCTCTAGGGGCGACAATTTGATTAACAGGTGGGGCTCTTTACGATACTTTGGGAAAAACAAAAAGACTGACGGAAAGAAGAAGAAGAAGAGTGGGAGAAGCAAATGTAGTTAGTGGTGCAGGGGTGGAGGTATAGGTTATAGGTAGAAGTTATAGGTAGAAGTAAAGAGCGACATATACATACATAGAGATATATGCGCCTTCCTGAAAGAAAACGTAGGGGTTTTTAACATTACATAGGGAGATATCCTTTTTGCACACACTGTAGTGCAATATGCAAAATTTTACTACGCGTAGTATGTTAAATTGGTCCAGCCGTATTTTTATTATTACTATTGTTGCTTGCACTAGCTTCGCGTACGCTTCAATTGTGTAATAAACAATTGGTTTACAAAAACAACGATGGGTTTTGTTGTCAGCAATTGTTGCTGGTGTCTGCAACTCCTAATGCTAAATGCACAATTTTCGTTTAGATATTTCTTTCCTTCGAATATTTTTTCTTGCTTCACCGGCTGGCTGCCTAGATAACTTCGTATGCTTGCTTATTATTCCATTTATTATTTATACTTCTTTCTCTGTTGTTCTTGTTGATGTCCCATGCGTATTCGAGGTGTTGTTGTTGTTGTTGTTGTTGTGACTTTAGTGCGTGCTCATATTTAAAGTTAATTGTTTTACACTCTCACCACTCAGTTGGGTTGTGCGCGCGAATTGCCTCATTTATGATTGCTGCAACATGGACTACCAAATTGCAATTCTAGATATTTGCACAATACGCGCACTTACATACATACATACACGTATGTGTGCATGCACGCATGTGTTGGCTACAGACTTGCATGCGCCTGAGTCTACTGAGCACACTGCTTGGTTGGAGTGAGTGAGTGAGTTCAGCTTAATTCTTGCTTGGCTTAATTTTGCCTTTGGGTCGCTGACCCAGAAATGTCAACAAGGAAGTAAAAATGCATTTTAAGTGATTTCAATTTATTTATGTTCATAACTTTGTTTGTATGTATGTTTGCATGTGTGTGCATGGAAGTATATGCATGATTATGTGCTTGAGCATATTTATTTTGCATGTGTGTGTGTGTGTGTGTATGTGTGTGCGTTCAAATGTGTCTCAGTTGTTTAGGTTCTTGCCTGCCTCCACGCATTTTTCATATTTTCCTTTATTTATGTGTCTTAATTTGTTTTATGATTTTTGTTTTTGTTTCGTTTTAAGCTTTCGTTGTCACTGTTTTAACTGCGCTTATCTTGCGTCAATAATTTTTAATGCATTTGTTGTGATAAATTTTATTTTATTTTCTTCTTTTTTTCAGTGAAAGGGAGACGACGTTTTCGCTTGTGACACAACAATTAGTTTTAAAGCACTCAGTAGCTTAATAATAATATAATAACAATAGTTTTGATAAGCGTTTGTTAAATTTCGAAAATTATTCTTAGATTTTTCGAAGGCTGTGGCCTGAAGCGATAACTGATTATTGAAGACAAAGACCACTTATTGTAATAAAAACATTTAAATAAATAATCTTTAGCTCGTATTGCATACCCTACAGTCTGCAAGGATTTAATCGTATCAGTGTTACAAATAAGGTCCAACCAAGCCATGAAAATAATGACCGTCAAAGACCTGAAGGAATTATATCCACTTGCAATTTTCAAAAAAAATTTTTTTTTGCAATTTTTCAAATGCACATACGAGGTGTGACCAGATATAAACCGTAAATTTAAAATTTCGTGAGTTACACAAGTTTAATTTTCGTTTTTTTCTGTTATGTTGGTACACATGTTTGCTATAAATGTTGGCAGTATCAGCCATTTTGGATTGTCAGTTTGTTTTTGACAGAAAAAAAGTTATTCGAAATTCGAACATACATATGTAACTCACGAAATTTGAAAATAACGGAAATTTTCTGATCACACCTTGTACATATATTTGAGAATATCATCCGAAAATCTCATATTGATCCTACAAACAGTCTCGGAGATATGATCGTATCATTAAGGACGTCTCTTGCCATTCGAAAATAGACGAAGCGTAAGTCGGAGTATTTTAACTAAGTGTAAATTGTGGGCAAAACTTGAAATGATTTTTTTTCGGAAAGCTGTTTTCACAGTTGGTGATTAAAATACCACTGAAAGGGCTGAGCCGATCGGCTTAAAATTTTCTTCCGACTATTTGTAAGGTAATACAATCCTTTTTAATTTCTTTTTTGAAGCCGCCAACGATCATTACCTGTACTCATCCATTATAATACTAAATTTTTTTCGTTTTCGGGTTTCAGATAATTTGAAGTAGAGATATTTTCGCCACCGCCAGGCACCTTTTTTAGAGGCCTTTCTCGAGCTCGGCTACAAGAACAAGAGGATAGAATATATATTAAAATGAATCGTTTATTGTAAAACTACATTAAATTCGGTCTATAAACATTCTTTTCATTAATTTATAGAATAAAATACTTCTAAAAAAGAATTAACAAAGAAAAGCATTTATTTTGTTTTGCAAATGGATTCGTCTATTCGAATCGTCTGCCTTGAGGAACACGAAAAAAGTTGCTTCGTCAAGGTTTTGTTTTTGGTTATCCTAAAATCATAATATGGCTGTGTAATCTGACGTGAAACATTACCTAAGCTCCATCAGAATTAAGAAGATCCATTCCAAGCCATTCGTTACCAAGTGACGTTTCAGTCTAATTGACATTCTCACGTAAATTAAAAAAATTAAAGTATTATTTAATCATATCTAAGAACCTTAACAAGCATATCTGTAGTTGTATTTACTCTAATCAGCGAACTCGTTTTCGAACTGCTTACGTCACGCAACAACATAAACAGACATTTTAGCTATGAAATATTTAGCTTTGGACTGAGTTTGCAATTGCAATGTAAGGTCCTCTCTCGAAAATCTAAACTCCTTCTTATAAATGCAATAAAATCGTGGAGGAAACCGAACTGGAGGAACCGACATCCCTGAGTAGACAGATGAGAGCTTTCGAGTCAGATAGAGCGTGAGCAATTGAACTGTAAAGTCCTCTCTCGAAAAGTATAACTCCTTATTCCCATTCTTATACATGGAACAGATTCGTGGGGGAACCCAACCTAGAGGAACAGAAGACATCCCTCAGTAGACAGATGAGAGCTTTCGAGAGAGTGTCAATTGTGAATGATGCAACGATGAGCTGTATGAGATTTACGGTGATTTTTATATAGAAAACTGGCTACCGCTTTATATATAAACTGAAAGTCCCCCCTTTTATTGGGAAAACATCAATACGCAAAACCACAATTGGAGGAATGTATATATATTCGGTATCGTCTTCGTTCCTCAACTTTCCATATTTCATAAAAATATTTTCTGAGTATAATTGTCTAGCCGGCCGTACTTCGCCCACGGTTTCTCACTTCCCGGGCTTTCGGTATTGCCACTGGCTCAAGGTTTCTTTTCTTATGTCCTGCCACGTTTATCTTTTTTTTAATGTAAAGTTTACTTCCATTTTGGCTGTCAAAAGGTCCATCGGAACGTTTAAGCTTAAGGCAGGTATAGCCTCGCCTGATACTGAGCGTTATGCCGACACGAAAGCTGGTGAGCGGTGCATTTTGTCCAGTATCATTCGCCTTGGCTCCGTAGCGTAAAATATATAGAGTTGCTGGTAATATAAGCTCACTTTTTCTTGAGTGCTTCTTGCGACTTCCATAGAGATGTGAAGTAACTTTGGACTGAAGTGTAATGAATCTGAGCCCAGTAGTAATGTCTAGAGTCCGGTCGTGTATTCAGATAATTATTAACTCTTCATGACCGCAGCAGATCAGAGATTGCGTGTATATCTATTTCAAGTGGGATATATTTCATCATTAATAACAAAAACTCTATTTTTTCTGTGGTAAGTCTTAGACCCCGTTGGTCTAGCCAATGCCGTCGTGCCTCTCAAGGTATAATATGCCATCCCAGCTAACGTTCCAGTTGTCTGGCTCGATTATGTAGCTCCAGCCATTAACTTGTGATTTCGTGGCCCGACTGTAGTCATATAAGGTAAGATTCTGTCCTTATGACTATAATTATAATTATTTTAAATTCCATGAATTTAATTGATTATTAATTTTAATGAACTGTTATAATTTAGTTTTCCTGTTAAAATCCATTATTAGCACAATTTACTTTCCATTGGCGCTGCCATGGTGAAGAAAAGCCAAATGTGGTTAAAAAAAGTGCAAAGAAAAATATATATTAAACTCTTAGAATATTCATACTTTCGTACATACGTACGTATATTGATATGGGCTTAGAGCAACTCACAAAAGGAAAAAAAAGAAAAAAAAAATTAAGAGCAAATCCAAAGCAAAATTACAATAGTGGTAACAACAGTTGGTGCAACTGTTAGTTTGCTGACAATGACAGCAAAAGCTGTTACAGCAGCAGCAACAGCAAGTAGCAAGGGCAAAGGCGAATGTGCACCCAGCAGCGCGTCTGGTTACTTCAGCTACATACATACTCTTGTATTTGTATATTTGTATGTATATTTGCCATTTATACTCCAGCCGCACATTAGAGAAGAACAATGAAGTGATTTTAACTAAAATATAAAACCTAACGTTGGACTCAGCCTTTGCAAGCACCTTGGTGCCATAGTGGGCTCTCCTCAATTCCTACAGACGTACCAGCTACAATATTACGGTTTAAAAGCTACCGGTTTTAATATATTACAAATGTTTTTCGAAATATATATTAAGTTTTAAGTGGAAAAGAGAGGAATTTCAGATTCGCTATTCGCTTGGGGCCTTTTTTTTACTGGGAGGAAGATAAGGATTAACTGATTTCGACTGTGTTTATGACGTACTCTTCTACAGAGTGCGGCAAAGTTTTACATAGATATAATGGTTGGGCGAATTCTCCCGCTGAACTCTCTCCCAGGTGATGATATTGAAGATG